GATGACTTGGCTCTAGGTCAACAGTGCATTCAGCATTCAGTGATTCGTTATTACAGCGATTATCACTCGACGGAGTACGTACCGTTTCACTGACAGTCATTAACATTGGATCGCAACTAACGTTTTTGACATCATCCAACCCAACGAGTTTAGCCATACCGATGTCCAGTACACTGCTTGTCTCAGACCGTAACTCGCGCCAATAGCGTTTCTGTTTCATAGCAGAGGTGGGCTCATGACTCTCCAAAACACCAGGAACAATACGCATTGCGCTTAAGGTCTTCGACCTCCATTAAAAACATGGCCCATGGAGTTTTAGCCAGGCCATACCAAGTATGAGATCGCACCTCTTACCCAAGTCAAGGACTAGACAAAGTTCGATATTGTCAAAGGTCGAAATCTTCAGGCCTAAGTATATAAAAACTTTTGGAACATTGAGTAATGCACCTTTCGACAAGCGAAAAGTGATAGAATCCGTCTTTCGCGATTTCGGCGCCTCAGCATACTGCTAACTTCCTTCCAAAGAACAACGTCGGACGTAATTTCCCGACGCCCCGGAGTCGATCAATATCGACCATGGTCATATCAAAGCCCTCCACTGTCGCTTTTGCAGATAACAAGCCTGGCTTGTACTCACGCTTCGTGACATTGCTCACGAAGCCACATGGGGCTAGGCCCTACTCTTCATCACCTCCGAGAGGTACGAAAGAGCCTAAATCCTCCCCAGCAGGGCGCCTCGAGCCTACTAGGACTCGACGTTTCCCCGCGCCTTACCGATTCGTTGGTTAGCAACGGGAGGTCGGCTCAAATGAGCCTGTCCGGTTCTTCTCAAAGGATACTTGGGGCGAAGATATTTGATGCTTCCGCACGTAAAACATGTACGGGCGTTGGAACGCTGTTCTACAGTAGAGAGCTCAGCCTCTTCGTCTCTCTCAGCGATACTAAGGTCCATGGGTTTTGCCCGATCCATGAGATATGCAATGCTCGACGATTTCTATTGGAAAGCATATGTTCCATAACGGGTAGCTTAAAGGTTGAACTATGCGTTCAACGCTATGTCCACTGCACCCTCAAATATCAAGTGTTGTGCACGAAACACTTCTGTTCTAGCAATGTTAGTGCGGAGACCCTCCATGAAAATGGTTACCATAACCGTCCCAGATAAAGGGTTAAGCGGCATCGCAGCGATGAGAGTTCGCAACTTCTGGACATAATCGGCTAAGTCATCGCACGTGATATGCCTAATAAGGCGGAGCAAACACCCGAGATAGCTGCTTTTCAGCATGTCCCGGATAGGAAAAGCCTCTTCTATCGAGGTTCCAGAAGTGAAGGCCCACTCCCTGGCTTGCCCACCTAACTTCGATAGGGCCAGGCCCACCTTTTGCTGCTCTGACCGCAACAAGGTCGAGCTGATGGCAACCTCCATCTCTCGACCCGTGAAAGGAGATATCTCCCTCTTTCTTTTCGATAGTCCTAACACTTAATACCAGAGGGCGAGTCCTTGACTATGCGTCCGGTATTGGAACATACCGAGTGGGTATAACATGTTTCAAATGGTAATGCAGTGTTCGGTATTTTAAAATGCCTAGTGGGCATGGCAGATATCAAATGGTCCTGTCCGATCAATGTGGACTCAAAGTTCGAGAAGACTTCGAGACATGTAATAAGTGCGTCTGGCCTTGCGACTGTGTAATAGCCACTTGCTCGTGCCCTATCCACGCCATAAGCTTCTCAAGAGTGATCTGCTGGGCCTCATTAATATTTATTGAAGTTACCATCATCGCAGAGGTTTAGTCTGCGGAGACTCAGGTGTAGATTGACTACAAGTGCTACCAAGTGTAGCGGAGCTACTTATCGCTCCTTAACAGAGAAAGTCTTACACTCAACGAGTATATTAGTTCTTACAAATTAACAACGACGTACAGTCGTTAAAGCGTAGAAGCTTAACAATCACGGTTTCAAAAAGATTACGATTCACATAATCACACACTAACTAGTCACTACCTGTTAAACAAGAGCAAGCGCCTTCACAAGGCTAATGCTCTTACAACACACTATGCCTTGGCTAGGCACTAGCTTCCAAGGATTAAAAAGGGAAAATGAACTTAATTTACTTTTTAACTACGGTAATAAAACCATAAAACCTTGCCTGACTGAGTTGTACATTGCGATCCTGTGACAGAAGTATTATCCGTTATCCCCGATTGATAAGGTGCGGTATTTCCGTAAGCACATAGTGCCAAGACTGTACCACTCAGATTCACCGATCTTTACTTGGTGTGGACACACAACATAGCCATTTCAACAACCTCCGCGTAACCCCGTTACATTGCAGGCCAACCTGTTACATTGGCAATGTAACTGCTATTCATGAAATGAACAGTGGCGAAAGAAAAGCAAAACACCAACGTAAATTTGAGAAGGGAAGGTGTACGCTTGGAAACTGCGTTTTCTGACACGTAAGACGTGATTTTGTATGAATAGGCACGAGCAAAGGTGAAGATGAGCTAGCTGTTTTGTATGAGTAGAAGTAACACGAGTGCTGCAGATTATCTACATCATTTCTGGTGCAATGTGATCAAGCTACGCTGGCCTAGGCGTGCCCGGATGAGCCTTCTCGACAAAAAGTAGACTGTTATCCGTACGAAGATGAATGCTGCAGAGCCATTATACTACTGCGAAAGCTACAACTATGTAAAGCTGACTACAATGCAACAGCCGTAAGACTGAAAACTGCTGTGTGAGGAGCAAGATTTGTGGTACTGCCGGCTTATTTCCCCAACTTATGTGAGCGTGTGCAGCCATCCATCCGCTGGTATGGCACTGAATTAGGTTCCGTAACTCCTGCCCGTGGTCTCCAGACACCTCAGGTGACTTCTTTCTTGACTCTTCTATGTCGTGCAAGTATTTATTTTTGAGATAGGGGACCAAACTCTGGAGCTTGTCCTTTGACAAAAAGTAATTTAGTTCGGAGAGCCGAAACAATTTACAAAATACCATACAAAGGAGACACTGAAGAAGAGTATGATGTTGTAATGTACATATTGATTCAATACAGTATACTCAAGCAACGTGATCAGCCTATGCTTGTGAGCGTCCAGCATTTGCTTATATGATCAAAAATACCTTTGATCGATTCTAAGCCAATCACGTCTGTGCATCATAATAGTGACTGGCCATAGAGTGACACCTATCATGCTAATCGAGCTATGAGAAGGGGCAGGCTGCATCGCACTTAAAACGTTTCAGGTACACCTAGCCGCGTTATTCACAGACAGACACAACCGCTAATAAGTACGATCGAAAAGTTTGGCAATCAACCTTGCGCACAGTCACTGATAGCTTCACCCCTCGGGCGTGCAATGAAAGACCAGTCTAAAGTGGAGCATCCTTCCGCATTCCAATCCTTTGTCAGCTCGGGTAAAGTTTGTCATGAAAGGTTGCAGCGTACATGGATCGTCATTACATCTATACTCGACACGGAGTACAGGAAAAATTCGCGACAATTAATCACCTGATATTGCTTGCCGGATGTCTCCGTCAGCCGCAGAACAATCCTGCCTCACCTGCCCCAATCGTTGTGTCCACCTGCCCTATGAATTCCCAAGATCTTGTTGATTGCATGTGATAGCTGTTGGTTTCGCTGTCTGCCAATTCAACGGATGTGAGCACGCTTGCAAATGCTTCAGCTTAGCATCACTATTTTTGTCGACATTTGACCGACCAGTCTTATGATATTCCTGGCAAAAATGCTGCGCTCTAAACTTCTCTGTTCTCGACATTCCAGCATGAAGCTACGATCGTTGTCTCCCGTTCTATATCAGAGCAATGTCGGTGCTTGCTTGACATTCAGGCACATCATTGTATGCGTATCCTACAACTTCATTATCACTGAATCTGATCAAGACTGTCTATTGGAAGCTACTGCGAGCGGTTGGAATACTACCCGCAGAAATCTGTCATTGAAATCGAAGATACTTGGGTAATGGTGCCGAGAAGTCAACGAACCAATTCGAACGACATCCTATCCTGCAATATTGCAGAGAGTCGGTAGATCGCAAGAGGGGCTTTCTTAGCAGGTTTAAATTTGGTGGAAGTACAGACTTTACAAAAGTTAACTTAATGCTCTAGGTAACTCGACCCTGTAGTTATAGTTCCTATCAACGACACATGCTCTTGACCGAAATCAGCCAAAAAACTACTGATCGGTCCGTCTCGGAACTGAAATGCATCTCAAGAATAAGATGCATTTCTGTTTCATGATAGCTGCTCCATGAATCTGATGGAACACAAGCCAGCACTGCAAGTGATCCACCAATTGCCAGCGAAACATTCTACCCACACGTGGCCACAGTTCTGTAATCAGACGTCAAAGTAGTGATTTCATCGCTGATGAGCTGCGACCATAAATACCATCCCGCCGGCCAAACTTTGCTTTTCGATCGCGTTTGTCCAGCCTACCAGTCCACTCTCAGTAATCATCTTGGTCTTAGCGAATCATGGCTGTCAGCTAGCACAGGCAACACCCCGATCATTGTGTCAAATGGACATCTCTGAGTGCTTCGAGTTTCGACGTGATATGCAGTATGGTCTGTATTGCAGTGATATCAACAACATCAAGTTTTCACCATTGCTTTCAAGCATAAAAGCGAACGTGAGTTCTGCTGGCTGCTGCTTCTTTCCAACGGACTCGTCAAATTTGGCCAGAACTTCCCTACTGCGAATACCTGTACCATCGCTTTGTTGTTCTCCACAGAGCTGCACTAAAACTCTTTCACGTAACGGAGCAACCGCATAAGATTTTGTTGTAAATTTTTCGTGCTTAAAGCGGTGACGCATTACACAAAATTGCCTGTCTAACCTGCTATGTTCATCCTGATGTGTACACAGTGATCACAAGCCACACACCGCTATTGTTGACACAGTTGCCTCAAGCTATTTATTGCTGTGCTTGATACGGTGTCCTCACGCCACATATCGCGATCGTTGATACAATAACCTCAAGCCATACGCCGTCTCTTCTTGGCTGACAATACCGAATCTTCCTCTCTTTTCACCTCGGTTTTCACGCACACTTCTGTCGCATCTCTCGTGGTATTCTGTCTTGAGCGACCCCCACCACTTGCCCCGGATTTACCAATCGGACGTGAGGTACGCCCACCTCCGGCTCCTGTATTGTTGCTGCTCTGACTGTTCGCCCCTCCAGCGTTTAGCTGCTTTGCCTGTTCACGACGAATTTTCTTCGTCTGGTATTCGTGTGACGGCGGAAGGTTGGTGATAGGAGGCAGTTTTTTCGGATCTTCCGGAGGGTAGGGACGAACATGGAAATATTGCGCTGAAAGACAGTCCGAAGCCGTCAACCGCTGCTCCGGATCCAGCACAAGTAGAGCCTCGATTAACTCAAGAGCACCTTTCGGCAATATTCTCTTGCGCGCAGTTGCTTCGCGCATTAAGAACTCGCGCAGACGCTTAGGCTTGGATTTATCAGGAACAAATGTACTGCTGTGCGTCAGGAACTTGTAGTCCGGCCATGACTCGGTAGTCGGAGTTCCGCATACGTCGAAAATCTTAGTAATTTGCTCGAGTTCCGTCTTGCCCTGGAAGATGGGATGTCCGATATACAGTTCGGCGAAGACACACCCGACGCTCCACATATCAATACTAGCATCGTAACTCGTGGCGCCCAGAAGTAACTCTGGCGGTCGATACCATAGCGTCACGACCTTGTTCGTGAACAGCTGGTCTCCGCGCAAGGAACGGGCCAGACCAAAGTCTGCTACCTTGAGTAAATGGTCTCTAGTCATCAAAAGGTTGGAGCACTTGATGTCTCTGCTCGCACACGGTGTGTGGTCACATACCGCACAACACTTTCATTCCGTAAAACCAAAATTGCAACATTTAGTGGCCAACGTACCGATGGATGATGTCAAGGGAGTGCATGTACTTCATGACGTCGAGCAACTGCTTCATCAAGCACTTGATCTCAGTATCGTCAAATCTACCACCACAACAAAGCCACACTTTCTCGTATGAGCGTCAAATGTCACGACCTTCATTGTGCTTGCAAAGTAACGCACGGATGCTGTCGATCAATAAGACCCGTCAAATCGTGTTCGAGGTACTCCAGCACCAAGTAGATTGACCCATGACAATAGTCCAGCGGCTCGTCCTTGTCTGTAAACTCGGCTACAGTCACAAAATCATCCACGTCCCAAAGTTCGTCAATTGACCCCGAGTTCTGACTCCACCCAACCAGTCTCACCGTCGTCATCGTCGTTCTCAGCAGACACAACGACCTCCTTCAGCTCCACGAGGTTCGGGTGGCTCAGACACTTGAGCACTTTGATCTCCCGAATTGTTGTCACAGGTAGCTGTAGCCCACGAAATAAGTGTACGTCAGACTCGTTTCTGCATCCACAAACGGGGCAACTGCAAGCGGGAAAGCGACCACAACACTCACGCCCTGAACTTCATTGAGACTGCGGATCTTCTTGATCGCCACGACTTCTCCCGTTGCTTTGTCTTTCGCCATATACACTTGACTAAAGGACAAAGTTATTCGTTTTTTAACCGATACCAAATAACAGTTAGCACTCGTCATGCTCTTCAATCAATTCATCAGGTTAACCGACAGTTCCTTCAGCAAGTAAAACCGAACCTACCCGTAGGTACCCGCGCCAATACACTCCAGCTTCTCGTACACATCCATGCCCCGAGTGCCCCAATGGTGCTTGGGCAAGTGGAGACTCATGGCGCTTTTGCTCCTCCTTCTTCTTGCCACGTCCAATTCGTGCAGCTCAAATCGTATCTGATTGTTCGAAAGTACGTTAGGTGCTTCACTAAGTACGCACTGTACCACTCCACCGGTACCAACAGCATTTGCGAGTCAAAAGCGCTCAGACCCCATGGGATTGTGGCGTAAAGCGCTGACGTCAATGCACGCGACGGTTTTGCGCTCGAAACAGTGTACGACGAGTGGTGTTGCTACTGAGGTGTCTGTTACTGAAGACTGAGGCGTCTTGTTCGCTACTGTGGCTTCTTTTTTTTTATGTCTAATGGTGATTGCGGCAGCTCTCGGTCTCCAACTCAAGCTCCAGCCGGAAAAGGATATTTTCCTGTTTAATGCCAAGGAGTCAGTTGCTGATTGGACGGCGACGAGTGACAGGTCGATTGGAGGTAAGTGTTGAACCTGTGGCTCTACCTAAATTGAGGATGCTGCAGAACGGCCATTTGCGAAGGAGTTGATATTGCGATCGTGTGCCCATGTTGCTGTATGTTGCGTTGTACGCGATCTGTGCTATCTTACAGGACTATCTGAGTGCCGCTGGGGATTTTTTGCGGGTTCACCTGTAGCAGATGATAAAGACATGAGTACGGAGGAGAAGAGCTCAACGAGGCTCATTCACAAAGTGAGGAACCAGGACAATGTCCCATCTGGTAGGCTAGAAAAGTGTTTTACGTTGCATTCTTGCGCGTATGGACTTTGTCTGATTTGTAAATTGCGCTTGCTAGCCGTGTTTGCTGGACGGCTGAATACGGAGTGCCAGCCGACGGAGGTTGGTGTTGTCCGGAGTGGCTACTGCGCAGTGCGGGCACCTGTACCACTAGAGCTGCTCTTGCACGGCTACGAGGGGATTGCAATGCGAGTGATGACGGATGGGCGTGAGTATCGCATGAACGTCCAAATGGAGAGCTGGAATCCGTTTAACCTGTACATGGTACGGAAAGCTTGATGTGGTAGTACTCATTGAACACGTGACTTATCGGATGCGCTATGGTTTAGGGATTTATCCGGACGCCACCCAATGAATGGGTTGACGTTACTGTGCGTAGCTGCCTGCTTGTTGCGCCATCATCTCTCTTATTTATGATCAACACTGTATTATGTGTACCGTAGCTGCCATTCTGCGACTTCTTGTTGACGGCCAAGGGCTTCGTTAAGATGGACGATGAGACAGAGCTTGATCCTTCCAAGCTCAAAAGTGTACGGTCGCTCGAGTACCGAACAACATCAGCCACTCGTAACATCGGATTCTTGTGTATTTTGGATTGGTGTCGATAGGTCGGCTTTGCCATCGCAGATCAGAAGGAAGGCGACTTTGAGCTGCGTATTCAATGGATTAAGGCGGTGGCCCGGTTACAGGCGTCGGACAAGGATGATCACAGTGGCGGTGACAATGACGACAACGGTTGGTACGTTGGGCTTTGGCTGCTTCTGCTGACTGGCGGGGGTGAAACTAACCTGCGGTTGATTCCAGCTACGACAATCCCAAGCGCAGAACCGATTACTTCCGAAAGCCAGCAGATCTGGTCATCTAATGCGCAGCTTGCGTTTGCGCTGTCTGTGGTATCAACAAATAATAGGATCAAGAGACTGGCGCGCAAGAAAGGAATAACGGCTGTCATCCGGAGCCGTAACGATGTGGTAGCCGACTACGACGCGACCATCTGAACAGCGGTGGAAATTGAGCACGCTGGATCCACGACTGGTTATGCAATGAACTTGCTTACTGCTCCCGTTAGATCTCATCTTCGTTCAGCAGCATATTGGGGATGCCATCAATGATAGGGAACACCCGGCCAGACTCGGGACACACGAGCTTGCCCTTCTTCACGTGCACCTCTAGTAGAGCGTGGTGAATCTTGCGCAGCACTTCATCGTCCGCCGCTCCGTCTTCTGCGCTGGGTATTGTTTCGGGAAGGCCATCTGCGACCTCTAGAGCTTTGGCACCAGCGAGGAATGCACTCCAGTCCAGCTTGGTCAGCATCTTGCGCACGAAAGCGGCCTGAAAGTCGCAGGTCACCACCTCCACCTCGTCAACATCAAGGCCAAGGGGGTAGCCGTTACTCACGCCCTTCTTGTTGCACGTGAGCAAGTTGTGAGTAATGAGACGCATGGCAATCGAGGCGGCAGTAGTTGCGGTCGGCTCGAGTCCACTCAAATCGAGGAGGCACTTGTGCTGTGTGCATTTCGATTTGACTGGAAGCAGGTTTGTCCTAGAATAGGGGAACACCCACACACGGTAAGCAAGGTTTGGTTTATCTACCCTAGTATAACGGCATATATTCGATGGAGTAGTCGTCTACAAACTACAAGTGAGCACTTTAACCGCGCGTAATTACAGGGGCCATTCCTATTGCATGCTCGATCAAACCCACAGCGTTGCAGCTAGCACACTGAGGTACTAAGGTGATTAACGTACCGTGACAGTGCGCTGGATTGATAGTAGCGCTTGGGTTACTAGAAATCCATCCGACGCAGCAGCAATTATAGCCTCGGTCATGAAGTCGAAGCCTCTTTCCACAAGTCCGTTTTGGCCACAAACCCATGGAGAGAGTTGCTAGACGAAAGGCTCTACGTGTGACGCCCAGTTTGTTGTGTCACAACCAGCGCTGCCTCCCAAGTGTCGAATCCAGCATTTGTTTTACAGCATAAGCGGACACGCTTATTTGTTCTCGTCCCACATGGAGACGAAGACGAGCAAGATGATGATAGAAATCATGCCGCCAAACACGGAGAAGATAATACGACGCTGATTCCGGCGGTGAACTTCGTCCGCATCTTCGCTGTAAAAAGGAGCCAGGCCAATCTCAAGATCAGGGCGAACTCGATACAGCTCTGCTTTCTCTTGAAACGTTAGACGTCTGCGCAGCAGCAAAGCCACAATGACAAAACAGACAAACAATCAGAACCTCCAGCCATTCCGGCTACACGATGTCACACCTTGAACTCACCGTGGTTCTCGTCCAACGAAAGACATGTTCGCATGCATAGTCGGTACTGACTGCTCAAGGTCGCGGTCCAAGACAAAATCTACGGACGCGCTTTTCCTCAATCCGTAACGGCCGTTATCAATGTGGTCAGCACTTACGCGCAAAATCGAATGTCGTTGCGGCGTCGAGACGTTCGTACCGTAAGCAAGCGGTGCCTTGATTTGGCAGTGCACGTCGTTCGGTAAGTGCCTTTGTGGACTGCCACCCAACAACGCAGTCATCACACTGTCACTAACGTAAGTCCCGGAGTCCGAGCACACGGTCTTGTCACGCATAGTCGGGGACGGCCTCATTGGTGATTGGCTTGTCCCATTAACGACGTCCGAGCCGATGGGGCGCCAGGGACCCACGTTTGTTGGGTAATGTTTCGAGGTGCCGGCATCATCCGGAACGGGGTCTCGAATCAAAAGGGGCTTGACGACAGCGGCACTGTCTTCATCACTATTGTAGTAGTTTTCGCGTGTTTCCTCCTCCTCTTCAGGCTCCTCGACGCCATAGTCGAACACTCTCACCGGGATCCGCGTCTGCGGGGCCGTCATGGATGATAATGAGGAATATCCAAAGATCGACAGAAAATCAACAAGAAAGTTCTCCAATTATTCATTTTAGAACATACGCCACCCAGTTGTGCGGATACTTTGTACCCGTCCTAGATGTGTGTAGTACGATAGAACTATCCTATCCCGTGGAAGCTTGACTAAAACAGTACACTCACGTTGCCACAAACACGATCATCTGCGGTTGGTGGACTGTAGAAGATCATATTTTTCTACACGTCTGCCCTGCTGGACCACCATAAATCAACTCTCACTTTAGTCACCTCAGTGCGCTTTCAGCTTAAGCTTCCTTTTAGATTTTCAGTTATATCCTTGTGCATGACACTCTTCGTGACTCATTAACATGCGCTTCCACCTTGGTTGATAGAATGTCCGTTGTATCCTGTGGCAAATTATCATACCATAATATCAGCGTAGCAAAAGTATAATGTGTTTTTTTGTTGTCGCAGAACCATTTATATCGGTCGCACGACAAAAATTGCAGGAGCCTCTATGAATCTCTGTGAATTCCTGGTTCGCAAGTTCACCAAGGACTGTGGTGAATGAGATTTAAATGATCGCTAATGTGTTTCCGACTCTACGCTGGCTCCTGGACGACCAACTTGATAAGAAATGCTCCAGTTCCGTGTAAAGTATTTCGTTGCTCACCTTGTTTATTCTTCGGTAAGGCGATTCGCACTCTTCTCGGTTGACTTGTATCCATGCTGAACTTGACCGTGTGTAAGGTTGGGTTGGTGTTAAACGAGTGTAAACCTTCACTCTACTGCTTCAGATCTTGAAGAAATCTATTTGGGCTACCCAGATATATCTATAGATCTCTGTGGTGGAGCAATGATTACAAGATTATTTTGACCCCTACTCTTTAGTCGCTGTAACGGGGGAACCGTTACATAACAGTTTATAAGAAATTGTTAATAGAATATGACTAAAAGAGTTATATTCTCAGAATATTGTCATAAGGACAAATATCCTGCAGCACTTACGAGTACTTCCTGATTGGTTGATATAGGCCATTATATCAACCAACGAAGACGCGCCACGACAGACGCACGCAATGAGTGGTGAGCAGATAGTTGATTTACACATTTGTATTCGGACATAGTTAGATGAGGATAAACAGTGATTTATTAACAGACATTAACTATGATAAATACAGTTCTAATTTTTACTTAAACGAAGTTCTCGCTTCTTCTTACCGTCTTCCTCTGCACGCACCAGTATACGTGAAGTTCCGAGGCACCGCCTTATTCTGTCGTCAGAGTAAGTAGCTTGTACTGTCATCAGTACAAGCTTGAGGGTGCCCGTTACACCTGGTAGCACTTCGTAGTCCGTCCAAGGACCACGTTCACATCTAACATGAATATGGTAGATGATGAAGATGACCAAAGCTTTCACGCTACGCGTGACGGCTACTCCCATTTGAGCAATGTCGAATGGGATGCGGTTGAGCGGATGAGTTCAACCATGGGCATCCATGCTGTTAGCGTCATGCTAGTGGCTCTCAATAGAGATGTTCAACATGCTACTATCGCCAAGTTCATTCAAAATGAACTTGATGCCGAACGCGAGAAAGTAGCCTTGCTTCACCAACAAGGTTCTCAACAAGCAGAGTTGTTGATAGAACAGGGTGCTCAACAGTTTGAACTGTTGAGACAGCAGCAGGCTGCTGCTGGTGGGTCGATACACTCGCGTCGACCCGAGACCTTGAAGATTGACATCTCCAAGTATAGGGGAGTCGAAGAGGACTCCCTCTTGAGATGGTTCGTCGAATTGGATGACGCCATAAGGGCGCGTCGCATCGACGACGGGGATATGCAAGTTGCATTTGCCCAATCAAATCTGGCAGGACGTGCCAAGACGTGGGCTTTGGGGCTCAAGTTGCACGACCCATATGCGTTTGGGTCGTTGGAAGTCTTCAAGTCGCGGCTCAGACAAACGTTTGAACCGCCTAGAGCTGAGTTCAGAGCTCGAACTGAACTCTTGAAGCTCAAACAAGGTAAGCGTGATGTGCACGCTTACGCACAACATATACGACATCTCACGAGTTGTCTAAGTTCCAACCCGGTTGATGAACACACGTTGGTTTCGGTGTTTATGCAGGGTCTTGCGGATGGTCCTGTCAAGACTCACCTGTTCCGACTTGAACTAGATTCACTAGAACAAGCCATTTCCATTGCGGAACAGGAAGACTTCAGTCTGAGACAGGCTCGCGCCAGCTCGACATCATATCGTACACCGAGACGATATGACAGCGGAGGTCCAGAGCCGGTGGAACTCTGTTATGCAGAGAGCGAGAAGGCTCTCTCTAAAGACTACAAGAAGTTGCTTAAATGCAATAGATGTCAAAAGACAGGACACTACGCTTACGAGTGTAGTGCCCCTCGTCCAGTGTCTCGCAACACTGGGCGTAGTGACCGTCCGCCCATGAGAAAGGGGCAGGGACGCGGGTCCGCTGTTGGTGCAAAGACGCAACAACGGGATGGACCATAAAAACGGACAGGATCAGTAGGTGCGGAGCACCCTACTGGTCAAGAAACGTCAAGAGAATTTGCAGGCCTCTTGATGAAGGTTGCTCCCAACACACAAACGTTGTACGTTTCTGCTCTAGGTAATGAGATCTCACTCATTACCTTGAAACTCGAAGTAACGAATAAGTTGTCCCTTCGAGCTCTAGTCGATTGTGGGGCGTCCAACAATTTTGTGCGACGCAAATCGCTAGAAGATGGTCATTTTAAGTTTGTTGAATGTGACACACCTCCTACGAGGATGACGGTACGTCTTGCGACAGGCGCATCCGTAACCGTCATGAAGCGTATAGTGAAGATCCACTGTACGCTAGAAGATACCCAATATGACGATGACTTTATCGTATTGGATTTTGATGACAAATTTGATGTCATCCTTGGAATACCGTGGCTCAGAAGGTACTAACCACGGGTTAGCTGGCAACATCGGACAGTAACGATACCTGCCGCTTGTTCATCAGATGGACATCTGATGAACGTTTTGAAGCGTCCACAAGCGTGTGGATGTACTACGAGTGAGTGCGATGGCCTCACTTGTGGTACGGTCGTTAGTACGACTGCACAAAACCTTAGTGTACCAAACGATTACACTTCGGAGCAAAGTTCCGGCGGCTGTAAGGAAACACAGGCTGCGCCGAAGGTCCACCACTCGAATAAGTCGAGTGAACTGGGACAAAGATGTATCCCTAGCGGGGAACATCTAGAAGAGAAACGATCGATCGCTCAGGTTAAGCTAAACGATAATCCTAGATCGACTGGAGAGTCTTTCGTAGAGGATCTCGCTGTGGTTGCGCAACCCCAGCTAGAGGAAGTAAAGGGAATAAGTCCCAAGATTACAAATACGGCGGAAATAAGTTCCCCGAAACCCGCGGGAATAATTCCCCGGGAAGCCGAAGGAATAAATCCTTCGAGGCCTGAGGGAATAAGTCCCCAGGAAATGACAGATACATTGAATGTCATAGTCAATGATGGATCAAGTGTAGGCGCTTATACACTTGATCTGATTGCGCCTCCGAAGTTGACTTCGGAGATCACTCAGTTGCCAACGCTCGAACATAAAATGTTCTTGCGTGATCTGCGTAGTGGCAAAGTCAAGCAGATCTGCGTACTCGTCGCTGACGACGAGTGTGTAACCGACATAAGGTCAGCAACAGTGTTCACTGAGAGCGAGAGAGTTCTCAGTAGTTCATCGATGGACGAGAGTGTCCTAGATGAAAAGACACGAGTTGAGCGATATGACTCCCAATCGTGGGAATCGCTCAAGACAAATCCTCTTTATAAAGATTTGGTTGAATTCAAGGATGTATTCCCTGAAACTGTTCCGTGCGAATTACCGAAGGATAAAGGTACTCGGCACGAGGTTGAGCTTAAACCAGGCTCGAAGTACTGTGTCATGAAGCAGTGGCCACTGCCTCGTGACAAGCACTTGTGATCGACAAGTTCTTTGCAGATCGTTTAGCTGCAGGCCATGTGAGGGTCTCAACTTCCCCACATAGCTCTCCGACCTTCTGTGTGCGAAAAGCAACAGGAGGGTGGCGGATTGTGCATGCATTCAAAAAGTTGAATGCTGCAACGGTACCGGCTCAGACGCCGATACCAAGGAAGGACGTAATCATTGATGGTATGTCAAAGAGTACCATCTTTTCGTCCATGGATTTGATGGATGGCTTCTATCAAATCCTTATGCGGGAACGGGATATACCCTATACCGCAGTGAGCACGCCTAGCGGCATGCTCTGGGAATGGCTAGTAATGCCACAAGAGCTTAGTAATGCCCCTGCCACGTTCAACAGATGTGATACACATCTGTTGAGATCAGTACGAGAATTCGCGCCGAGTTATTTCGATGACGTATTCATCCATAGTCGAGCTATGGATGGAAAGTCGGACGTTGAGGTTCACAGGTACCACGTCCGACAGGTTCTTGCAATCATGCGAAAGCATCAATTTTATGCAAACCTCAAGAAGTGTATATCTGCAGCAAGCGAAATACCACTTCTTGGGTGCATCGTTGGTAAGAACGGTGTACGTCCTGATCCCGAAAAGATCAAGGCGATCACCGACTGGCCTGTGCCGGTTGATGTTAAAGGTCTTCGAAAATTCCTTGGGCTAGCGGCGTATTTGCATAAGTATTCACGCAATTACGCCGAGATGACTGTACACCTCTCTCGTTTGTTGAAAAAGAACGAGAGGTGGTAATGGGACGCTGCATGTCAGCGCTACTTCGATGGTATCAAGCAGAGTTTAATACAATCCCCAGTCCTAGCAATTGCCGATCAGGACAGGCCATTTCATGTGGTCTGTGATGCCAGCGATTTCGCAATCGGCTGTGCATTAATGCAGTACGATCTTGAAGGCGTTGAACGCGTCGTCTGCTATCAGTCGCGTCAGCTGCAACCAGCTGAGCGTAACTATCCAGTGCATGACAAGGAACTCCTTGCCATGAAGTATGCACTCGCGAAGTTCAGAGTCTATCTATTAGGAGATAGACCCTTCATTGTTTACACAGACCATGCGTCATTACGCACGGCAGTGAACAGCCCGCTCCTTTCACAACGAATGGCGCGGTGGTTGTCATTCTTTGCAGAATGCAACTTTACGGTAGAGTACAAACCAGGAAGACTAAGTGTCGTCGCTGATGCACTCTCACGTCGTCCCGACTTTGAAACAGTCGTGAAGCCCAACAGTGAGACAGTCACTCTTGCGGTTATGACGTCCACAATACCATATTCAACGTTACATTATGATGTGAGGCGTGCGTATGCCCAAGATGGTGATATTGTGAAGTTGTTGACATATCTCTCACAGCCATCTCGAGAATCGTTGAAGCGATTATCGTCTGCGTATCGATCTGCATCAGATCGATACACTACTCGCAACGGTTTTACTGTATTATACAGCTGTTTCTGGTGACACACCACGTGTTGTCATTCCAGATGATACTGATCTGCGTTTGCGGATCATGTTCGAGTATCACGATGCTCCTATAGGAGGACACCGTGGCCGGGAGAAAACATATCTCACGGTGAGTCGAGACTTTTACTGGCCCCGCCAGTATCAGTTTGTGCGAAAGTATGTTCGCGCATGCGATGTCTGCCAACGGGTAAAGTCAAGGCCTTCAATCAGTGCACCTTTACGGCTCTACCAGTTCCGACAGAGTGCTGGGACTCCATCTAAATGGATTTCGTCTTCGGGTTACCCAAAGACGCACGCGGGAATACGGGTATTCTCGTATTTGTTGACAGATTCAGCAAAATGGTACACCTTGTGGCTGTACCAGAGACAATCACGGCAAGTGGCTGTGCTTGTGTCTTTATCGACACCATCTTCCGACTTCATGGGTTGCCCCGTGAACTCGTATCGGACAGAGATCCACGATTCACTGCTGATTTCCGGCGTTCCGTGTTCAAATCACTCGGAACGCGCTCGAAGATGACGGCATCTGATCATCCGGAGACAGATGGTCAGACGGAACGAGTCAATCGTGTCCTAGAAGAGATACTTCATGGATACGTACACTCCTTTAAGAGTTGGAGTGAGTTCTTGCTAATGGTAGAGTTTGCCATTAACAACTCGGTGCATGCGTCCACGACCCATACACCGTTTTACGTGAATGGCTTACGCCATCCGCGTGTACCCACCTTACTAGAGTGTAACTCTGGGTTAAGGGGGGGGAGACTCGCGCGAGCAAAAACCGATTTGGTTCGCGCTCATCACGCTCTGACGAAGAGGTCATTGCGTTTGATGCCGATATCGATAACATCGATATCGAAGAAGATGATGCCAGTGAGAGTGCGGAAGCCCTCACTGAAGAAAAGGTTGATGTTGCTGCAGTGCGCTCACAGCGCACTGAAGCTAACGAGTCATCAGATGAGTTCATACTGGCTCGTGAAACGGTAGTCCGTTTTGTGCAAGAATCCATCGCCGAAGCGGTGGATAAGCAAAAGCAAAACACTGACAAGAATGGAAGGGCAAACGCTCTTTTATTTCATAAAGGTGACTTAGTCCTACTGTCTACGCTTAATCTACCAAAGCATGTAGTGACTAACTTGGGTAGTAGTAAACTTCAACCCAAGTACATCGGCCCATTTCGTGTATTGCATCGCCTAGGCAACGCATACACGATCGAGTTGCCACGTAAGATGCGAACGCATCCCACGTTTTACGTTGGTCGGCTTAAGCCGTGCCATCAGTACGCTGTTTTTTTTCGATGAAGAACGCCCTAGAGCTCAAGCATCTCACAGAGAGCCTTGTGCTCCCGATGGTGGCCATCGACAAGGGTCTGAAGAGCAATTATTTCAGCCCGAGACCGGTCAATATCCCCCCGAGCTACCCTTAGCTCGTCACGCAGAGATGTCAAAGCTCTCTCGTTCTCAAGCTGAGCAAAGGCAAACTCAGCTCAATGCTTCAAGACAGTGTCCGCCATTTGGAGACGCCTGTCCCGCTCATGCTCGAGGTCGTCGCGTAACGCAAGAGTTACACGATCAAAGAGGCTTTCGGGGACAAACGCTCCCCCACGATAGTTTGGAGAGCGTCTTCCCTTCTCCTCTACCTCCTTTGGAGGACTCTCGCGGTGACCAGCGCTATCTGATTGAGCAGCTGTTTAACCACCGCGATGTGGACGGCGTCGGACGAGTTAACTCGTCCGGTGGCGCAGCTATCCCCCGTCCTTTGATACTTGGGAGCCCCGCTCCCAACTGATTATTGACGTACTGGGTCTGGTCGAGCAGTACGACGCGGCATATCCCGTGCCGCAGAAGGACCGCTGGAGAAAGTCTTCCCGGCACAGTCATAAAGGGATTTCAGGTTGTCAATCCCTTCGTACATCTCAGTAGAGATACGTACGCGCCACCACGGGCTATTAGGTAGTTAGGCCTCCTTAGGTGCGCGCGCAGAGTTGTTCACACAACATGGGCACGAGTCTCCCCAAGAGAGGCAGGGTAACCCTTTCTCCCTTGACAGACGATGCAGCTTGTAGCGTGCACCTGTTGGGGTTCTTTTCTCAAAATTATCACGAGCTTTGATAAGTTTGTCGTTCCAAGCGTCACGACCTACATCCTCAAGGTTATGCATGTAAGCGTTCCACGCTTGAAGCAGTGAGGGACCATCACGCTTGTGATTCCCACTGTACCGTCGATGTCTATAGAAAGCATCAATGAAGAATTCATGCTCAGTGCGATAGTTTCTCGCACTGGGGTCAAGGTGATGGATCCTTGATGAACCGAACAATCGTGTTCGATAACGATCACTCGTCGTCGCCGACAAGCGATCCATGACAGATTTAGGAGGTAGCCATGCTTTCTTCTCGGGAGCGAGACGCAAGACATTGCGGTCCCGCTCTTCCTGCGTCGTGCCGACAGAAGGACTGACACCTCGTTGCGAAGTGGTGTCAATAGGAGAAAGGACACCACTGTGAGCGCCCGAGTCTCGCGACCTCGAGCGCCTTCGCTTCGGCGATGGTTCATCTGATTCATCAGATGAACCAAAGATGCTGCGACGCATAGCATCATCCATGCCACGCTTAGCAGGCGGCTTGGTTCCGATCGCCGTCGATGCGGATCCGTCTTCCGTATCGGAAGAGTATAAGACACCGAGCTCATACTCTGTGAAGACATGAGTGTCTTCATGACGAGCTCCTGCATCACCATGTGATACAGGCTGAGACGCTTTAGCAACCGATGATACATCTGTTGCAGCGGTTTCTGCTTCGGCGTCTGCACAGAGACGTGCAGACGCGCTCTCAGCGGCCTTGTTCGCGCACCGCATGGACTTGTTAACCATGCGATGAATTGTTGGAAAGTGGACTCGGACTAACAAGTGCAAACCCTTTCCCAACTGATTTGAGACGAGTATCCATTTAGTCAATCAGTTACTATCGTGATTGATGGTTAAGGGGGGGTGATGTAACGGGGTGAACCGTTACATAACAGTTTATAAGAAATTGTTAATAGAATATATCTATAAGAGTTATATTCTCAGAATATTGTCATAAGGACAAATATCCTGCAGCACTTACGAGTAGTTCCTAATTGGTTGATATAGGCCATTATATCAACCAACGAAGACGCGCCACGACAGACGCACGCAATGAGTGGTGAGCAGATAGTTGATTTACACATTTGTATTTAGACATAGTTTTAGATGAGGATAAACAGTGGTTTATTAACAGACATTAACTATTATAAATACAGTTCTACTTTTACTTAAACGAAGTACTCGCTTCTTCTTACCGTCTTCCTCTGTACGTACCAGTGTACGTGAAGTTCCGAGGCACCGCCTTATTCTGTCGTCAGAGTAAGTAGCTTGTACTGTCATCAGTACAAGCTTAAAGGTGCCCCGTTACAGTCTCTCCCAGTAGATGTAGAAGATACTTCAGTTCTGTGTTCTTCGCCTTCCTCACCTTGTTTATCTGTCGGTATGGCAGGTAGCATCCTTCCAGGTGGACTAGAGTCGATGTTAAACTTGACCATGATTAGGAATGGCGTCGATTGCATCAAAAGTTTCACACGATCACGTTGGTTTTGGGTGGGTCATTGTATGAGATGCCCTGATCTTTTAAAGATCGCCCTGCCCTACGGTGATGCTTGATCCTGCAAGACTTCTGGCCACAATGAGCCGTCCTACGAGCTCGCATTTCTTCCTCCTGATGTTTTTGCTGCGTCCGATCGCAGTTGCCTTGGTGTCGTGAGAATTCTTAAACGCACCTGGTAAAGCAATCCAAGTGCGACACTTGCGTAGAGGTGTAACGCGGCTTTTTAAACATCCTGTCCGGAAGACATAACGTGTGTCTTTTGAAGTAAATTAAAATCTGTTTAATGTTAATCAAACTTCAAAACCTATCACTGTGATTATTTATACCTCCTAATAGGATGCCACGCGTCGCCTTTTAAGAAGATCATCCTCATGTATTTATGTGGTCCACAACGGCTATATCAACAGTTGGATCTTCATGTGGTCCGCCTTAGATGTCACGACCACTTGAGCATGAATTACAATCGCAAGTTGGGGATAGTGATCCCAGGTCTAGATCGTGATCACAAGTTAGGGATGGTGGTCCCAGGTCGGGATCACGATCGAAAGTTGGGGATCGTGAGTCCTGTCCTGCGATGTCTCACGACGGATTTCGTAATAGAACTGGGATAACCGTCATCTGACCTTGACCCACGTAGTGGCGAACCGGATCACTGGAGTTCGAATGAGCAAATGCAAGCTTTCCATACCAGCTCGTATTTGCAATCAGATCCCTTTCGACTCAACTGAAGCGTACAATCTGTGTAGTCCCAACTCCAACTTAACCAGCAACTTCCTTGCGACCGCTTTTCCACAACCATCCCTTGCACCGTTAGTTGACATAAGGTGTAACTTTGAATGTGCAATTGTGGTGAAGCGAGTATCCGGGTATGATGGACTTAAGGGTCGCTGATCCGGACGGACATGGGACCTCGCGGCCGAGAAAGGGACTATAAACTTGATGTCACAGGTAAGGAGCGGCCGTTGGGTCTAATCGTGGCGAGCGATTAAGGTTACTTCCAACGGGAGAAGTCCGACCAACGGTAGCAGTTAAACGGTACCGATGTGGATCGTTCTCAACCACTCGTGGGTCGGCCGGTCGCCCAAGGTGGACCTCGGTCCACCGTAGGCCGACTTGGTCTCTCAAGGTCTAGTGGCTCCTGGCCACTCATCATAGCAAACCAAGATGCAAGGCAAAAGTAGAGTAAAGGAGATTAAAGGATAGGAAAACATTAAGAGCTACTCAATTTGCGATTTAATTAGCACGACGTGTCGTGCGCTAAGAAACTTGTAAGGCTACCGACCTGTTCCGGGCTAGGGATCTTTTTGGCCCACCCGTCGAAAATACAGTTGTCAGTAAGACACAAGTGTAAGTAGAACCCCTAACTCAAGCCCGCTATAGGGAGTGGTCTCCATACCCTAGTGTTAAGGGAGAAGATACATAAAGGCCAGGTGGCTGACATCCCGTAGATAAGAAAAGGCAAGGCGCTACCAGCACCTGAGAAAACTTATTATAAGACCACTCTCGATCAAGTCGATCGAGTGGCCGCCTAGATTGGACCCCGACTGAAGCATATCCGCTCGAGGCCCTCAGGTCGACCTCCATCATGGCCGACGTCTATGACCATCACCAAGTCCTCCGAAGAGTGAAACTCGCCAGCCGACGAGCATACAAGATAAGTCAAGGTCCACAAGCGGCATCGGGGTACCTGTTCCGACAGTCTTCAGTCCGACACAGTGAGTGGTTCGGGGTCTCGTCAGCCAATTTGATAACCCCTCCACCACAATGGTGCGCGTACCCAGATATAACCGAAGACCGAAGAACCACTGGTAGACCGACCACCAGTGACACAAGAAGACAAAACCAAAGAGTCGAAGGACCGACCGGACCTTGAGAGAGTTCTGGTCAACATGGTCAAGGTTTAAATTTATGGTGAAAAACCTAAGCAACCTCGCTACGTCCTCGTTGAGGATGTCATGGGACATGATACCTACCATGCCCCAGAGGACCAAGAGCCGATGGTGGAAACCGAAGAGTTATGTACTACGAAACAGCAGACCCGTATGGTCGCCAAGTCCAAGCCGAAGAAGGCCAGGATGAAAGCCCCAGGGGACACCAATTCAACGGGTCCCGACAATTCAGAACCATCGACCGAGTCGGATTTTCGGCCGAAGACGAAACACGGAAAGATAAGGTTCCGACACCAAAAAAAATAAGATTGCTAAGTCGAAGCCGAAACATGCGAAGATGAATACGCCAGTAGACACTAAGTCGGTGGGCCCTGCCCAAGCAGGGCAGCCAGCCTGGTTGGACGATGCGGTAACGACTGCCTACAACCGACGTAAGCTGGACACACTCTTGGGCTGGCGACCATGTCGCAAAAACCCTTGAGATCCAGCGGCTTGGACGACAAAGGGGCCGGTGTCAACCTTACCACGACTTCGGAAGTTCACTGAGGCTATCACGGCGCTGGTAGCCCTCGTCCACAAGGAAAACATGGCTGTATAAAAATTCGATCGAAACACTTTGATCGACCTGGGGTTCATCAGCATCACAAGCGTGTCGGAGAAGTTGCACAAGCAATTGACGATTTTGGTTGGGACCACCACCAGACACAATAACGTAACACCAGCGCAATCTATGGCGGCACCGTCGCTCGACAGCCAGAAGACCATTACAGACTTCAAAGTCCAACCCCAAGCACGACCACAGCTCGACAACCCGAAAGTGATGCGCTTTTCCCAACCACCGAACCTCCCGTTAGGTATCCAAAAGGCAGATGAGCGGTCGTCACATTGTTTGTCTGCTCTTGACTGGTATGACGGAATATTACTGGGACCAGCTAGGGCAGAGATGCTCGAGGCTTGTTCAGGGGGTGAAGAGAAAAATCAGTATGTTCACGAAACGATGACACGTGTCAACCCAAGGGACATCCAAGCGCCTGATAGGGTAAATTTTCATCCAATGGGAATTCAGCACGGTCGTGACAGGAACTCTGCACCACTACGTGACGGAGATGCTGAGGGGACACGCAAAACCTTGCAGACATACTTCGACGCGGCAATAGTACGATTTCTACAGTAACGCCAAGTACAACAAGGATACCGAGATAGAAGGGCGACCGCAGACACAAAGGCCACAGGTGACAGCGGCTCAACAAGGACAGAGAATCGGAGCACAAGTTTCGAGACGTCATACTATGACTGACGTGGGGACGGGATCAGTCGGTACGTGCGAGTACGACCCGGACGACATGGGTTTTGAGGGATCACATGCGAGGATGGCAACAGCTACAGTGGGAAAAATGCCCAACACGGATCCTCGCTTTAAACTTGCAGCAACATCGGACCTCAACGATTTTCACGGAAAAGATTATGACGAGGACTGAGCACGCAGTTGGGTGACCACATTGAAAACCGCGTTCACGAGAGATTAAGCGCCCAACGATGAAAAGTGCCTTGTCTTCGGTGGTTTGCTAACTGGACCAGCTCAGAGCTGGTATCGCCAACTGGGTCACTCGGTTCGATCAAACTAGAAGGATCTCCTGCAAGAGTTCCAGATGCAGTTCTACGGTTTGGGTGCGCCAGTTGCTCGCCTATACTACCATGAGAAGATGAGGTCAGATGAGTCACCATTAATCTACCTATACCGACTCAATGTGATTAAACTCAGGAAGAAAAACAAGATCAAGGACGGACCACCCAAGGTACAAAAGGAACACGTCGAGCACTACAACGAGACTTTGGAAGACCCGGAATTGGCGTACCAGCTCACGATTTTGCGTCTGGCGGGTGTGGACGAATCGGAAGACGTGCTGAGATCCAGGCATATGACGAAAGCGCGGCGACGTAAGCTACTCTTTGGATCAAGCAAGTTTCGACAAAAGGCACCCGTACCATCCGACCAAAAGGAGAAGTAAACCGCCATTCGGTACATGCGGTTTGAACGACTTTGGAAGAGTAGAAGTCTGACGATTTGAGCTCGGACGGATCAAGTGAAGAAGGTGGCTTGAGGCGATTTCACTTGATAGCGATGGAAGGACAGAGGGAAACAGGTACGAAGACTCTAAGAGGCCGGCCTACCCGAAAGGCCGACTAACACCTTCATCAGGGACCTCGCCCGTCACGGCCGCTCAGTACCAGAAGTGCGCTCATTGTGTATCTCGAAAGCATGGAGATTTAGGTTGTTGGATATGACTCACGTATGAACGCTGTGCAGAGAAGGTTCACCCAACATATCGTTGCTTGTTTGTGCGCTAGGGGTGTGGAGATACCCACGAGATCGGAAAGTGCCAGATGGAAGAAATTTATAACTTGATCCGTCAATGGTATAACCCGACCAAGCACGCTGGAATGTTGCCGGAGAAGGCGGGAAAGCTGATAAATTAGAAATCTCGCCAGGTTTGAGTCTGGTACGAGCCGAGTGTTCTGATTGTCATGTCTTTGAATGTGTGGATAAGAGTTCTGTAAGAGAAATAGGTACCACAGGGGAAATATTATCAAGGAAGATACCGCAGTTAAGAAGATTGGGAATATATCGAAGATTGGAAGCTACCCTGTGGTTCATGTTGCTTTTCTTTATGACCCTAATGACTTTTGTCGAAGAGATGCAGTGATGGAATTGGATCTACTAATAGGTGAATCCAGGAGCTATTGGAAAAACCATGCTATTTCAAAGGGGTGTAAGTAGGTCAAGTCTCTGATAAATCAAAGCATTGATGATCCGCATCTATTTTCCCCGCCATGAAACAGTACGCCAAGGAAAATGACTGATTACTATCAAAGATAGCCATTAAATGAAGTAAGTACATGCGGAATTTGTTGGCTTCGTATGTGTAATCTAGCAGCAAGATGTCATTTGCAGAATGATCCTTGGCAATCTCAATCGCATAATTTGGCACAATGAACAGATCAGTGAGTTTGTCTGCAGCGCTTCTTTGGAATTTGTGCGTGATTTGCTTTTCAGTGAGCATGTCCAACAATGCTTTAAGAGGGGTACGACCAGCTAGGAAAGCATTCTTAGCCTTTGCCTTCGTGTTGTAAGTGTCTCGAAGTGCCGCGTTGCACTCAGGTTGACGTTGGAATAACATATTGAGTGCTGCTTTTGGCTGTACACCAGATTTGCATAGCTATTCCACTATGTGAACCTGCTCAGGATTGAGTACCTGTACACTTGGGTATGCAGCCACGTCTTCAGCCGGTTCATGGTTATGTTTTAGACCGATATAAACCAAAGCAATGAAATCGACGGCTGTGAGACTCAAACTCACGAAAGGTTTACTAACCACGTCAATTTGCCGAAGAGTCGCTCTGAAAGGACAGCCATTTCGAGTGGTGCTTGTATTGCGCAACCAATTGTCCTTGTCCTGATGCTCTCCCCGTGAACACAAAATGCAACCACTTGCTTGACTGGGCCGCCTTTATTATTTCCAACAGTTCAAATTTGCCCTTTCCTGACAGCATAACATTCTGATTCCGCATGAGCCTTAATATGCTCCATTGCTGAGTCTAGCAACGTGAAAGACAGTGCAGCTGGTGGTGCCGACGGCATTGATGCGTGGTGTGTCAAAGTACTTGGTTGTGTTGCAGGAATGAATTAGGTTGCTTTCTCCTTTGTCGTTCCGTTCTAGTGGCAGTGTAGTCAAAATGTTTCCGGTGTTGAATAGAAGTCCGTTGCTTTTGATTGGTCTTCTCTGTTGTGTGTGGTCCATTTATAAAGGGGTGTGGTCCAGCTATTAGCGACCTAAAAACAGTAAAAAAAAATTGTGTACCACACTTTGCAGAGTATACAAAAATGTGAGAAATTCTTATTTCTCATTATGTGGGCATTTGTATGGAAGAGTCAAGCAGTCACCCCCTCACAAAATTATCCACCTTCTTACACTTACGATGCTCTGTTGTTCAAAAGAAAGAAAGGCAACCAACCTTTCTATTCCTGTTTGGTCAAACAAAAATTGAAAACGAACACTTGTCTACCAACTTCAGGTACACACATATACTCATCTTCCTCTTGCAACTTTGCTTAGCCAGGGCATAATGCTCGTACATGCCAACCGGTTGTAAAATGAGATATTGAGCAGTTGACAGTGTCGAAGTAGCAGATGAGTAAGTAGCTTTTAACGAACCTGCGGCACCGATGACATAACACTGTGAATTTGAACGGGTGTCTTCTTAATGGCTAGTTTGAGAGAGAGGCAACTGTCTGTATAGCTACTTACCACTACTAAGTCGTCTGGTAAACAACAGCTCGTTTTCATCGACCATTACGCAAAATTCTTACTCCTCGATTACTCGTTCTGCTGACTCAAAATTTAAACTTCACGACGGGGCACTCACACAAGGGCCCGTGCATCAGTCTATTGACCAAGTTCGGGGTTAGACCCTGATGTGTACTTCAACCGAACGTGTGGACTGCTTTCGCTCTCGGAGCTATTTGATCCAGGGGGCAGCGGACGCTTGTATAGGAGTCCAATCACTACCGCGGTATTCCAAGTGAGTCATCGGGACGTAATTCCTGGCCTTCAACTTTCGTTCGACTTATTCAGCTCTCCAAGTAGGATCTTGAGGTCCACGACGAGCTTAAGTTTTCCCAGAAGCACCACTAGACGAAGCGCATCTGCTCATGCGCTCCTGAAAAAAAACGGCACTGGATCTCAACGGGGTCGTTGCGGTCTTAAGGATGTTTTCTTCGTGGGACCTGGCTCAACCAAAAGGGGCCGTCGATTTAGTTTACTATTCAACAATATTTCAGGGATTGTTCGCTGCATTTCTTCTTATTGAAAGATCAAAGCATCGTAATTGTGAGTGATTGGATAGTTTTTGCGAAGGAGTAGACTCCGAACGCTTCCATTTTTTTATTTTCCAACAATGTGGACACTATTTTCAGGGGGGTGACTAGGTAGACACCCTTTTTTACTACGAGCACATCCCCTCGATAAAATAAATTATCCCCTTGATTTGAGACATCATACTTTCTTACAACAATGGTGCCCCCCCCGAAATTTTATACGCGACTTTTCACTCCTGATGAGCATTGCAAACTCCTGTCTAAGCCGCAGATCCAGTGCCGGTGAGTAATGTGTACGTAATCGTGGTCGTCCTTTTTGTAATTGTTGCGTTAGATTTAATTTGTCCAAGGTGGACATGGTAGTGTTGTCATTTATCTTGTCGCATATTTGACTGCCGCACCAGGGGCTTTACAGATGTCATGTTTCGGTACGATAACCTGATGAGAGACTCCACACTGAAGCAGATATTCAGCTACTTCAGCATTTATTTTCTGTTTCCTTCATTTAAATGTAGACATTTTGTTTGGATGTTATGTTTCGTTGTATAAAGTCCTCAGGTACGGAGCAGAGCGAAAATTATTAGTTATCCACGATGCTGCCCAAACTTTTATATGTATGGTTTTTGAAAATGCGCTTGGATGACTTCGACATCAACCGCTGCATTGCATATCCTTGGACATGACCATGTGCAATAATTGCACTCTCTGCAGCATCTAAACACTTACTGACAGTGCCGGTTGGCGGTGGCTCGGGCATCCTTGCAGTATGTTCATAGAAATTTTACAGTGGATCAATCGTTATGTTCAGTTGTCAGTACTGAAATCTCGACAAGAGTGCGAGCGCATTTGTTCCCTCATTTATCTTTCATCATTAGCCACATTTCCCTCTTGCACATGAATCTTCATGGCCACGTATTTGGACGTGAGTGTCTCTGGAATACAACTGACATTTACGATCAGAAAGGAGAATATGCCAACTCATTGCGAGATCAGAATAGATGTTACGAATAGAAAGTGAGGTGAGGTGTGGTTAGGTGAGGAGAGGAGTGGAGAAGGGTCTAAAACTCTATATTGCACTCTGATAAGTGCCCTGAATGATTGATAATTTCAGCATGCACCGGCAACGTAAGATAGTCATCATGTCTTTATCCAGGGGGTGTTCGCGATGGAAGTGGAGACACCGGCATTGAAAGATAAGGATGCTATCTTTTATCGAGGGGGTATCCACGTAGTAAGAACGGGGGGTTCTACTTAGTCATTCTCCATTTTTATTTTTCAATGATTCAGGCATTTTTTCACTTTCATGATTAAGTGGGGTATTTTTATTCCGCGATAAAAATGGGACATTATTTATTTCCTTTTATTTGATGCTGCACGACATATTTACAAAACGACAAATTGTCGCAACGATTTCTCGGTCTCGTCAGATGTCTGGTGTCCATAAACGGGTTTATGGTGTCCACGAACGGGTTTACAAATGTGGTTAATGAGGGGGACTATAAACACTTTTTGTAAACTGGGTTCATCGGGGTTTAGGTAGTCACCCAGTAGATAGATCATGCTACTCAAAAACCGTATCATTCGCGCTGTCATGTGCACAAACGATGCGTCTAATGTCCTTCTTTAGTGTGCACGAACGGATTACTTTGACACTCGTCAGCGGTCTCGTCACTCGATCTCGACATCAAATGCGCCAATCAGATCAACCGACGCGAGGAAGTCTCGACTCTGTACAACATGGTCCCTACTTTCAACCGGTCACAAATCTGCACCAACAGCTCCATCTTTTTCGACGATGGCTACATCTCTATGGCTCATCGGTGCTCTACTAGCTAGTGTCGTCTCCGTCATCGTACGTCCATCGTTCTCCTTCGTACCCTCCCCCTAATGTACTGATTGTACTCCGATTACAGTCGTTCGCAGTGACGAAGCTCCGCGGTCCAGGCTTCAACGTCGAAGGTAAACACGTGTTCATCACCGGCGGAAGCTCCGGCTTGGGACTGGCGCTGGCCAAGAAGTATGCACGTCAGGGGGCCAAAGTATCCATTGTCGCGCGTGGTCTGGAAAATCTCGAGCAGTCCAAAACGGACATTCAACGTGTGTGCAAGCACGCGGACGCTAGAGTGTTCATCCAGTCGTGCGATGTCACAGACTTTGCCAGTGTGCAGAAGGCAGTGGATGCTGCTAACAAGTTCCATGGCCGTGCGACGGACCACGTCGTGTGCTCAGCAGGTTACGCTGTTCCCGGCTACATTGTAGACCAGGACGTGAGTCTGCACAAGTCGATCATGGACGTCAACTATTTTGGTGCGCTGCATGCCATTAAGGCGGCTTTGCCGGCCATGGTGCAGTGCTCGGAAAAAGAAGGAAATGGCGGGCACATTGTGCTCGTGGGTTCCGGACTTGGACTCATCTCGTGGGTTGGCTACTCTCAGTACTCTGCCTCCAAGTATGCGCTGCGTGGACTGGCCGAGTCCCTGCGTAACGAGCTCAAGCTCTATGGGATCCGTGTGAGTATCTTTTATCCTGGCAACATTGACTCGCCTGGGTACGTGTTGGAAAACCGCACCAAGCCAGCTGAGACCAAGACTATTGAAGGGGTGAGCGCACTCGTCCAGCCGGAAGACGTGGCACAGTCGCTGATCAACGGAATGAGCGACGGCCAGTTCAGCATCACGAACGATATTATGATCTTTTTCCTGCGTGTTCTTAGTAACGGTGTTGCGCCACGCTACAACACCATGCTGGAAACTGTGATGCTGCCGCTGCTCATTCCTATCCAGGTGGGTTTTGGGTTTTTCATGGACTTTACCGTATGGCAGGCCAAGCGTGCTCGCGAGAACAAGCCCAAGCTTGAGTAAGCCGACGAAGCCACTCAGTGCAAGGATGAGAGTAAGGAAAAAGGAAGGTTGCTGAAGTACGTTTGGTGTACGTTTGTGCTGTTTCTGACTGTATGTCCGTCCTAGCTAGCTAGTCTGTTCTCTCCCTATGAGAAACCGCTCGAGACGATATGCTGCACTTACCCCCTGCGCTTGCTGAGACGCCAGGAATCGGGCGGATTGAAGCGGTCATACAATGGCTCGATCTTCTCGTTGCGCTTGCGTTTCGAGAGTTTCGTGGGGTCTCCCTTCTTGAAAAAGGCTGGAGCCAGTTCCACTAACCACTTTGGCTCTATCGTCATGATGTTGCGCATGTACTCCTTCGTCGTAAGCACGAGCTCGTGATAAAGCACCCACTCGGGGCTCTTGTTATACAGCGCACTCGATGGATGAATGTATACAGGCTGACCCTCCACCATAGTGCGGTATCCTTCTTGCGGATCCTTCTTTGCTGTGTTAGCGAAGTAGCCTGCCACAATCGCGCGCCGAACTTTGTTGAAGTTCTTGCCGCAAGAGACGACATCCATTTTGTACCGGTCCAAAATTGATAGCAACTGCTTGCGCACGTCTTGGGCACGACGAATAGCCCGTGCTTGAATGAAGTTTTCGTAGCACCACGGGTTCGAGAATTTGGAATTTGCCCAAGCCTCATACACAGCCAACAAGGTCAAGTGGTCACCTTCAGGCTGATGGAACTTGGCCTTCTTTTGATCAGCCTGTGCCTGCTTTTCCTTTGGTCGAAAAAAGACCGATTCCACTGACATCATCGCCACAATAGTCAACACTTCCTCTGCACAACCAAGCACCACGGAAGTCAGCAGCACTTTTGCATTTTTAGGCTCCACAGGAAACTCGGCCATCTTCTTTCCTAAGCGCGTTAACAAACCTTCGTCATCCAGGGCACCCAGGGCATACAAATTTTCAAGTGCCATGACAAGGGCATCCTGAGGAGGAGGATCCATGAAGTCGAAAGCCATGAGATCGTTGATACTCATTGCCTTCAACTGTAGCACAACCGATCCGAGATTCGCACGCTGAATCTCAGGCACAGTCGTGGACAGCATCTCGTTCTTGTAAGCATTCTCTGTGTACAGTCGGTAACATTTACCTGGGCCTGTGCGTCCAGCACGCCCTGCACGCTGACGAGCCGAAGCCTGTGAGCACGGTACAACCACTAGAGAATCCATTCCGATCTTCGAGTTGAAGGCATTCTGCTTGCAGAAACCAGGATCCACGACATAATAAATGCCGTCGATCGTCAGCGATGCCTCTGCAATATTGGTAGCCACTACACACTTACGGGAGCCCTTGGGCGCTGGGTCAAAAATGCGCGACTGCATCTCGGAAGGTAACGCACCATACACCGGAAGTATAATAAGCTCCGGGGCCAACGCACGCTCCTGCAATGCTTTTATGCGCTGGTACAGCACTTCGCAAGCTGTATCGATCTCTTCTTGTCCAGTCAAAAATAGCAATATATCTCCCTCTGGCTCGGATAGATGAATTTGCATGACGCAAAGAAGCGAAGCGTCCAAGTAGTCGAGCTCTGGTTCCTTCGTATACAGAATCTCGACCGGGAACGTACGTCCTGGAATCGTGAAGATCGGACAGTCAAAAAAATATCGAGAAAATTTCTCGGCATCCAGTGTTGCCGAAGTTACGATAAGTTTCAGATCCTTTCGCTTGCGCCCAAGATCTTTTAGCAGACCAAAAAGCACATCAGTGTTGATCGTTCGCTCGTGAGCTTCATCGAGCATCAGAGCGCTGTACTTCGATAACGTCGGATCGGCTAGGTATTCACGCAAGAGCATACCTTCAGTCATGTACTTGATCACTGTCTCTGGAGTCGTGACGTCCTCGAAACGCATAGAGTAGCCTACTTCTTGGCCCAGCTCGCAGCCAAACTCCTCCGCCACACGTTTTGCCACAGATGAAGCCGCGACACGACGCGGCTGCGTGCATCCAATAATACCGGTGGATGTCAACCCCATTTCTGCCATGTATTGTGTCATTTGCGTGGTTTTGCCGGAACCAGTTTCTCCGATGACCACAAGAAACTGGTTATCGGCAATTGCCTTCATCAATTGACGCTTGAGTCTGAAGACTGGAAGGCTCTCGCGCTGTTCTAATATCGACTTATTAGACACGATACCATACGAAAGGTTTTTACCGACCGACTTTTGCTTCCATTCAGGTAGCTCAAATGTGACACCCATATTGATACCACGTAATTCCTGAGCAAAGTGTCGCTCACCAGCATCTGGCATTGGATCTTCCCAAGGACGATTAAGATCCTTCGGGATGGAATCAATAAGTTGGTTTGCCTGCGTCTGTCGAAGTTCACGACGCTCTTTTGCCAAGTTTGACTGAGTCATTGCTGCACGCTGCATCGATCCATCCGGGTTCTTCACAATTTTGACAGGTGACAAATCGCGGCTCATGTTAGTTTGACCGCGAAGGAACACTGGCTCGTCCTCGTTTAGCTCCACCTCAAAGTCCTCCTCCGTAGCTTCAGTGTTAAGCAGACCATGCTCGTCATCGAATGTTGGATAATCTTCAACCGATAACACGCCCGAGTTTATAAGCTGCTGCACTTCCCACCGCTCAGGGGACGACATTCGCTTAGCAGCACGCTGTGGCTTGCCGTCATCATCATCGATCTGGTGCGATTTTTGCATACCCGGCGCAGAAGGGTTGACCCACGAGCGCGGATCCAACGACTTGTTTTCCTGCCGCGCTCTCTCGACACCACTGCTAGAGCGCTGAGGCATCAGGTCCTGCCCCGTCTTTTGGTCAACGTCTCGCATCGACATCGACAGCTTGGCCCCTGATATCGAAATGAGTTTCACCTTGACACGATCTCCGCGCTGGGCAAACTCTTTTACATTTCTCACACGATTTGCTGACAAGTTAGACACGTGCACAAGTCCTTCCTTCTTCTCCCTCCCGAGACCAGCGAGTTCCACGAACACGCCAAAGTCCATGACTTTTGTCACGCGACCATCATAAATGCCATACAGCTCTACATCTTTCACGCCGTGCTCATCGCTCTCACGTCGGTCGTCATCACGAGCTCGGCTAGTGCTTTGTGAATGAGTCGGTCCATAGTGACCATCGTGCCGTCCACGACCGCGACTACGGCTTCGTTCTTGTTCCCGTCGACCGCTTCTCCTATCTGCCGACCTTGAGCGTCTGTTTCTTTGGTCTCGACCGTCCGTTCTTCCTCGACTCCTGTCACGTCCATAGCGGTCGCGCGCTCCCGATTGTTCCCGAGCTGTAGAACGAACATCACTCTTCCTACCACGACGTGACGGCGAGCGCCGTGCTCCTGTTATGTCTGCTTTTTTCTCATCTCCATCGTCTTCCACTGCTGCTCCCGCAATATCCGCTGCCGTGAGCCCCTCGTCGTCTCGGATCTCGTGCCTCGTGGTCGTCTTGCACTTGACGTCTCCAACCTTCTTCATCTTCATCCGATCCGGCGCCATCGTCTGCACAATGCGAAAGAGATTCTCCGCCAGAGCACGGGGCAGTGGCAGCTCGTCGTCTTTGATCGACGCCAGGAATCCGGCGCAGTCGCTGCTGCTACGCACGAGGTCAATGACAAACTCGGCCAGCGTCTTGTCGCTCATTCCCAAGTGATTTTCCAGAGCCTGACACACTTTGGACACGAGACTTAGCTCCTGTAGCTTGTCCATGATTGATCAAGCGAGCGAGCGAGCGGTCAAGGGCTTTGCGCGATCGTGCGCGATCGTGCGCGCTAGAGTTGTGTACCACTGGTGTGGTGGTCAGTGAAGGCTTTTGACAGTTGATTGGTTGAATAGTGAAGCCTTGCATTTTAACCAATCACCGGTAGTAGCGACATCGCCAGCTTCATCTATTGGCTAGTATTGTGGGTGCACGTTTATCATCCTTGTCACGCATCTTGACGTCGTTCTCGCAGCTCTTGACAAACAGCTCGACTGGCCTCATTCCAGAGAGTCCAATGGATGCGCAGCTGGACAAGACCGATACGGGCCATGCAGTAGACGCGAAAAGTCGGCATTCCCCAGAGACCGTGCTACCTCTTTTGATTGATCGTACGAGCTCAGAAGGGCCAGCAACAGCGACAGGAGACGTCTTGACCGTCGTGACTCGCAGTCCCGAAGCTGCCGCGTCTTTAGCGCCGTCGTCCATGTCCTTGAAGGAGCAATGGCAGCCGAAACGTCACGTGTGCGAGAGGTCAGACTGTGGCAAGAGCTTTGATTCCAAGTGGGCTCTCATTAGGTGCGTTTCTGCTCTTCACTGCGGTTGTTGTCACAAGTCGCAGGAGGAAGAGGCAACAGGATTTTTCTAATGTGTAATGCTGCGACATGCAAGACACATTCGCGTTCACACGGGCGAGAAGCCGTTCCCATGCACGTATCCGTCGTGTGACAAGTCGTTTGCCGAGAAATCTGCGATGACGCGGTACACTGTCATTAAAGTACTTGATAGGTGGATCTTGAGGGGTCGTTGACTTGCGATGTGTTGCTTTGGACAGACACTTGCAGACACATTCGCGCGACAAGCCGTACAAGTGCACATATGCAGACTGTACCAAGAGCTTTAAGGGCAAGGACTACTTGGAGTTCCATCTGAAAATACATGCGGAAGGTAACCCTTATGCGTGCGACCACCCAATGTGCTCCAAGACATTTTGTAGTCCGAAGAGTCTGAAAAAACATGTCCGATTGTGGCACAACCCTGGCGGCAAAAGCACTTCGATGGAGCAGCAGCTTAGGGAACGCATCATCAAGATGGCGACACGCAACAAGGAGAAGACGCGCCAGTCTGAATCGACGATTCGGTCTCTCATGGAGGAGAACGAGTCCCTCAAGCGGAAAATATTTGAACTCGAGAGTTGCCAGCAGCGATTGTGACGAAGCGCAGCACTCGCGTTTGTTTGTTGGTCTGTTGACTCCCGCGTATGAAAAGTTGCATGGATGATTTATAGTGGGGCAGAAATGCTAGAGGGCAGGAGAAGCAGCACGTACCATGCGCGTAGCACCCACATTTGCATTTATGACGTGATGCGGGACGCCATGTACTCTGAACGGTTACATCACAAAAGTTAGAAGTAGTTCATTCCCATACTCATTGAATACGACTCGTAGCCCGGCCCATCTTTGCTCTCATGACCCCGGGCGCACAGGTAGTGCGAGCTCATCGACAGCATATACCGTTGTCATACCACTGATAGAATACTAACAGCACACTGTAGCTCAGTGCGTGTCAGAGGTGTGAAGGCATCATTTCGATTTCGAATAAACTACCTGAGCAAAGAAACGAAGGAGAAATGCCAATCCAGCTACTGCACATGCCGAGCAGTTGTTCGTCCTTACATGCCTCGCGGCTTAGGTCCCCCTGCCGCCTTTGCCATGATAATCTGGTCCACACGTAACACCGTGATGGCAGCATCAGCACCAAGACGAATAGCAGACACTTTCGTCTGGAGATGGTCCCAGATACCCTTGTTTAGCGCATCCGAAATAACATGCGACTTTTGCTCATTCTATAACATTCCAAATACACGGCAACAACAGTCAGTCGTTGGAGGCTATTCACCGCACATAATGTAAAACACAACGTACGTCCACATCCACACCAGCACTGCCATTGCCTGCCGCGTGAGCAGCGTACAGGCTAGAGATAACCTCGGTCGCCATCTGGCCGGAGTTCTCGGCAAGAATCCGGGGCACGACCTCAATCGCGTCGCCGAACTTCTTAATGGCGTACTGATCAAGACCTGGTGTAGCTTCACCATAGCTCTTGATCTGACGAGACAGCTCAATCTCAGTAGAGCCGGCACCAGCCACGAATCGGCCATCCCGACACACAGACTTCACGCAATTCACACCATCATCAATGGCACGTTCAATGTCGTTCAGCACGTTGTCCGTGCTAGCACGCAGCACAATGGTCGAAATCTTCGCATCTTCCTGATCCTGCTGGAACACAGTGACCTTTTTGCCGCCGATCTCCTTCACCATGACGCTGTCACAGAATCCCATCTCATCAGGTGTTGGGGCGCCGAGACGCACCAGCGCGTTTGCATTCACAGCACGGCAAAGACGACGCAACTCCCATTTCGACTGAATCTTGATCGCCATCAAATTGTACTTCTCCAAAAAGTGCAGTGCCATCTCGCTAATACTCCCACCCGAAACAACGACCATAGCGCCAGACTCGCTAATAGCGCGGACAGCTTCCTCCAGGTGCTTCTCCTCTCCTTTGTTGTAGTTCATAAGTTCGTCCGCGTCCTTGATGAGCACCGTGCTCTTGGCCTCCGTAGACGAAATCTCAATACCGCAGCCATACACCGCAACCTTGGCCTTCAAGACTTTCTTCACGAACCCCTCCGTGTCACGCTGAATAACCAACCCACGGATAACGGTCGAGTCATGCAAGTTGCCTCCCATGATCTTTGCCACGCGGATATTATCCACATTAATCGACGGTTTCTTCGGTGCTGCAGGCATCACGTTCAAACACGCTTCAGCCACAAGATGGGCCAGCAAGTCTTCGTATCCGTACTGTTTGGACGCCAGGGACGTCTTGATCGCCTTTTGCAGCGCCTCACAATCGCGCGGGTTCTTAACCTCCACTGTTTGCAGCTGCTGCAGGATCTCCTGACACTTGTCGTGCGCTTTCTGATACCCTGTGACAATCTCACTCGCGTGAAGTCCCATGCGCAAAAGACTCGCAGCTTCCATCAGCAGTTCGCCAGCCAGAGCCACCACGAGACAAGTGCCGTCACCAAAGTCGTTCTCCTGCATTTTAGCAGCCATGACGACCATACGAGCAGCTGGGTGGATCACATCTAGCTCCTTGACGATTGTCGCTGTGTCGCTCGTCACGAAAATGCGCTCCAAGTGGTTGATCACGAGCTTGTTCATGCCGTTCGGACCGAGCGACGACCGGGTGATGGCCGCGAGCTGCTTGACGGCGTCGATGTTCTTGGCCACGGCCTCATCGACACCTTCGAAGTGTTTGTGGCCGTCTTTTAGTAGCGACGACAGGCCACCGGCCACGTTCAATCCCATGGACTTGGACATGCTGGCAGATGGACGGACGGATGAACGCTTGCGGTCTTTTTGAACCTTTGACTGGTTGAAAAGATTCCCCTGGTGGTTTTTTTGGGTGGTCTTTATTGGGTGGGAGGAATCGATGCGTACGGTAACGAGGGGTGTTCAAACAAAGTGCTTTTATCGTACGGACAATGCTTTGTTTTGCAAAGCTTTTCCTACTTGTGAGTTCTTTTCTACAAAGCAAATTTTATCTTTTTTTTTCTGCAGAGACAGCAGTGCGATATTCATGACAATTTACTCGGAAAATTTTTACTCGAAAATGCTGCGGTTTGAATCGTCCTAAAATAGCGAAGACCCGTTTTGTTACGTGGTTGCACGAATGGTCGTGAGCACTGGATATATTGGTGTGGTACACACAGAAAGAGATCAGTAAATTGATAACGCATACTTTTGTATTACATACGCTAAGCACTGATACCGTACTGTATCGGTAAAAGTTAGAGGATATCTATCGTAATAGGGTTTTCATTGAGGCGACGTAGTTCTGGTTTGGTGCACAAGAAGAACCACGATAAGAACTATCGATTTAAAAGCATTGTTTTACGATTAAAGACGTAAGTGAGGTTTATTATCACTATAAACAAGTATATACATTCAGTTCCCTTTTTGATCAGTTTCAGACACGTGTCTTCCTTAGACGTCTTTGGTCGTAAAAATTAGTGCCTGAATTAAGGCTAAGTACTCTTAGGAAATATTTCTTATATTTTAACTTAAAAACAGTACTGGTGACAGTACAAGCTACTTATTCTGATAACAGAATAAGGCGGTGCCTCGTAACTTCACGTACACTCGTACGTGCAGAGGAAGACGGTAAGAAGAAGCGAGTACTTGGTTAAAGTAAAAGTAGAACTGTATTTATAATAGTTAATGTCTGTAATAAATCACTATTTATCTTCATCTAACTATGTCTAAATACAAATGTGTAAATCAATTATCTGCTCACCACTCATTGCGTGCGTCTGTCGTGGCGCGTCTTCGTTGGTTGATATAATGGCCTATATCAACCAATTAGGAACTACTGTAAGTGCTACAGAATATTCGTCCTTTATGACAATATTCTGAGAATATAACTCTTATAGTTATATTCTATTAACAATTTCTTATAAATTGTTATGTAACGATTCACCCCGTTACATCACCCCCTCCCCTAACCATCAGTCACTTTAGTGACTGATTGACTAAATGGATACTCGTCCCAAATCATTTGGGACGGGGTTTGCTCCTGTTGGTCCGCGTCCACTTTCCAACATTTCATCGCATGGTTAACAAGCCCATGCGATGCGCGAGCAAGGCCGCCGAGAGCGCGTCCACACGTCTCTGTGCGGACGCCGAAGCAGAAACCACAGCAACTGATGTGTCATCGGTTGCTGAAGAGACCCAGCCTGTGTCACTTGGTGACGCAGGCGCTGGTCATGAAGACACTCATGTCTTCACAGAGTATGAGCTCGGTGTCTCGTACTCTCCTGATACGGATGACGGATCCGTATCGACGGCAATTGAATCCAAGCCGCCTGCCAAGCGTGGCATGGACGATGCTTTGCGTCGCAGCATCTTTGGTTCATCTGATGAGTCAGATGAACCATCGCCGAAGCGAAGGCGCTCGAGGTCGCGAGACTCGGGCGCTAATAGTGGTGTCGGTTCTCCTATGGACACCACTTCACAGCGAGGTGCCAGTACTTCTGTCGGCACGTCGCAGGAAGAGCGGGACCGCAATGTGTTGCGTCTCGCTCCAGAAAAGAAGGCATGGATGCCTCCAAAATCCGTCATGGATCACTTGTCGGCGACGACGAGTGATCGTTATCGAACACGATTGTTCGATTCGTCAAGGATCCATCACCTTGACCCCAGCGCGAAAAACTATCGCGCTGAGAATGAATTCTTCATCGATGATTTCTTTAGACATCGATGGTACAGTGGGAATCACAAGCGTGATGGTCCCTCACTACTTCAAGCGTGGAACGCTTACATGCATAACCTTGAGGATGTAGGTCGTGACGCTTGGAACGAAAAACTTATCAAAGCTCGTGATTAGTTTGAAAAGCGAACCCCGACAGGTGCACGCTACAAGCTGCATCGTCTGTCAAGCGAGAAAGGATTACCCTGCCTCTCTTGGGGAGACTCGTGCCCGTGTTGTGTGAACAACTCTGCACGAGCACCTAAGGAGGCTTACCTCCTTACTAGCCCGTGGTGGCGCGTACGTATCTCTACTGAGATGTACGAAGGGATTGACAACCCGAAATCCCTTTACGACCGTGCCGGGAAGACATTCTCCGGCGGTCTTTCTGCGGCACAAGATGTGCCGCGTCGTACTGCTCAACCAGACCCAGTACGTCAACCATCAGTTGGGAGCGGGGCTCCCAAGTATCCCAGGACGGGGGATAACCGCTCCACCGGACGAGATAACTCGTCCGACGTCCGTTCACGTCGCGGTGGTTCAACAGCTGCTCAACCAGATAGCGCTGACCACCGCGAGAGTCCTCTAATGGAGGTGGAGGAGGAGGGAAGACGCTCTCCACACAGTCGTGGGGAAGCGTGTTTTCCCGAGAGCTTCTTTGATCGCGTAACGCAAGAGTTACGCAACGATCTCGAACATGAGCGGGACAGGCGTCTCCAAATGGCGGACACTGTCTTGAAGCATCGAGCTGAATTTGTCTTTGCTCAGCTTGAGAACGAGAGAGCTCTGACATCTCTTCGTGATGAGCTAAGGGTAGCTCGTGGGATTGTTGATCGGTCTCGGGATGAGATAACTGCTCTTCAGACCGTTGTCGATGCCCACCATCGGGAGCACAAGGCTCTCTGCGAGATGCTTGAGCTCAAGGGCGTTCTTCATCGGAAGAAACAGCGTACCGATGGTACGGCTTAAGCCGACCAACGTAAAACGTGGGATGCGTTCGCATCTTACGTGGCAACTCGATCGTGTATGCATTGCCTAGGCGGTGCAATACACGAAATGGGCCGATGTACTTGGGTAGTAGTTTACTGCTACCCAAGTTAGTCACTACATGCTTTGGTAGATTAACCGTAGACAGTAGGACCAAGTCACCTTTAATAATTAAAAGAGTGTTTGCCCTTCCATTCTTGTCAGCGTTTTGCTTTTGCTTATCCACCGCTTCGGCGATGGAGTCTTGCACAAAACGGACTACCGTTTCACGAGCCAGTATGAACTCATCTGATGACTCGTTAGCTTCAGTGCGCTGTGAGCGCACTGCAGCAACATCAATCTTTTCTTCAGTGAGGGCTTCCGCACTCTCACTGGCATCATTTTCTTCGATATCGATGTTATCGATATCGGCATCAAACGCAATGACCTCTTCGTCAGAGCGTGATGAGCGTGAACCAAATCGGTTTTTGCTCGCGCGAGTCCCTCCCCCCCTTAAACCAGAGTTACACTCTAGTAAGGTGGGTACACGCGGATGGCGTAAGCCATTCACGTAAAACGGTGTATGTGTCGTGGACGCATGCACCGAGTTGTTGATGGCAAACTCTACCATGCTCTACCATTGGCAAAAACTCACTCCAACTCTTAAAGGAGTGTACGTATCCTCGAAGTATCTCTTCAAGGACACGATTGGCACGTTCCGTCTGACCATTTGACTCTGGATGATCAGATGTTGACATCTTCAAGCGCGTTCCGAGTGATTTGAACACGGAACGCCAGAAATCAGCAGTGAATCGTGGATCTCTGTCTGATACGAGTTCACGGGGCAACCCATGAAGTCGGAAGATGGTGTCAATAAAGACACAAGCACAGCCACTTGCCGTGATTGTCTCTGGTACAGCCACAAGGTGTACCATTTTGCTGAATCTGTCAACAAATACGAGAATACCCGTATTCCCGCGTGCGTCTTTGGGTAACCCGAAGACGAAATCCATTGAGATGGATTCCCAGCACTCAGCCGGAACCGGTAGAGGCTGTAAAGGGGCACGCAGTGAAGGACTTGACTTCACTCGTTGGCAGACTTCGCATGCGCGAACATACTTTCGCACAAACTGATACTGGCGGGGCCAGTAAAAGTCTCGACTTACCGTGAGATATGTCTTCTCCCGGCCACGATGTCCTCCTATAGGAGCATCGTAATACTTCGAACATGATCCGCAAACGCAGATCAGTATCATCTGGAATGACAACACGTGGTGTGTCACCAGAAACGGCTGTATAATACAGTAACCCGTTGCGAGTAGTGTATCGATCTGATGCAGATCGATACGCAGGCGATAATCGTTTCAACGATTCTCGAGATGGTTGTGAGAGATGTGACAACAACTTCACTATCTCACCATCTTGGGCGTATGCCCGCCTCACATCATCATACAACGTTGTAGATGGGACTGAGGACGTCATAACCGCAACAGTGACTGTCTCACTGTTGGGTTTCACGACTGTTTCAAAGTCGGGACGACGTGAGAGTGCATCAGCGACGACATTAAGTCGTCCTGGTTTGTACTCGACCGTAAAGTTGTATTCTGCAAAGAATGACAACCACCGCGCCATTCGTTGTGAAAGGTGCGGGCTGTTCACTGCCGTGCGTAAGGACGCATGGTCAGTGCAAACAATGAAGGGTCTATCTCCTAATAGATAGACTCTGAACTTCGCTAGTGCATACTTCATGGCAAGGAGTTCCTTGTCATGCACTGGATAGTTCCGCTCAGCTGGTTGCAGCTGACGCGACTGATAGCAGACGACGCGTTCAACGCCTTCAAGGTCGTACTGCATTAATGCACAGTCGATTGCGAAATCGCTGGCATCACAGACCACATGAAATGGCCTGTCCTGATCGGCTATTGCTAGGACTGGGGATTGTATCAAGCTCTGCTTGATACCCTCAAAGGAGCGCTGACATTCAGCGTTCCATAACCACCTCTCGTTATTTTTCAACAAACGAGAGAGGTGCACAGTCATCTCGGCGTAATTGCGTGAATACTTATGCAAATACGCCGCTAGCCCAAGGAATTTTCGAAGACCTTTGACATCGACCGGCACAGGCCAGTCGGTGATCGCCTTGATCTTTTCGGGATCAGGACGTACACCGTTCTTACCAACGATGCACCCAAGAAGTGGTATTTCGCTTGCTGCAAATATACACTTCTTGAGGTTTGCATACAATTGATGCTTTCGCATGATTGTAAGAACCTGTCGGACGTGGTACCTGTGAACCTCAACGTCCGATTTTCCATCCATAGCTCGACTATGGATGAATACGTCATCGAAATAACTCGGCGCGAATTCTCGTACTGGTCTCAACAGATGTGATACACATCTGTTGAACGTGGCAGGGGCATTACTAAGCCCTTGTGGCATTACTAGCCATTCCCAGAGCATGCCGCTAGGCGTGCTAACTGCGGTATAGGGTATATCCCGTTCCGCATAAGGATTTGATAGAAGCCATCCATCAAATCCATGGACGAAAAGATGGTACTCTTTGACATACCATCAATGATTACGTCCTTCCTCGGTATCGGCGTCTGAGCCGGTACCGTTGCAGCATTCAACTTGTTAAATGCATGCACTATCCGCCACCCTCCTGTTGCTTTTCGCACACAGAAGGTCGGAGAGCTATGTGGGGAAGTTGATTCCCTCACATGTCCCGCAGCTAAACGATCGGCAAAGAACTTGTCGATCGCAAGTACTTGTTCACGAGGCAGTGGCCACTGCTTCATGACACAGTACTTCGAGCCTGGTTTAAGCTCGACCTCGTGTCGAATACCTTTATCCTTCGGTAATTCGCACGGAACAGTTTCAGGGAATACATCCTTGAATTCAACCAAATCTTCATAGAGAGGATTTGTCTTGAGCGATTCCCACGATTGGGAGTCATATCGCTCAACTCGTGTCTTTTCATCTAGGACGCTCTCGTCCATCGATGAACTACTGAGAACTCTCTCGTTCTCAGTAAACACTGTTGCTGACCTTATGTCGGTTATACACTCGTCGTCAGCGACGAGTATGCAGATCTGCTTGACTTTGCCACTACGCAGATCACGCAAGAACCATTTATGTTCGAGCGTTGGCAACTGAGTGATCTCCGAAGTCAACTTCGGAGGCGCAATCAGATCAAGTGTATAAGCGCCTACACTTGATCCATCATTGACTATGACATTCAATGTCTCTGTCATTTCCTGGGGACTTATTCCCTCAGGCCTCGAAGGACTTATTCCTTCGGCTTCCCGGGGACTTATTCCCGCGGGTTTCGGGGAACTTATTTCCGCCGTATTTGTAATCTTGGGACTTATTCCCTTTACTTCCTCTAGCTGGGGTTGCGCAACCACAGCGAGATCCTCTACGAAAGACTCTCCAGTCGATCTAGGATTATCGTTTAGCTTAACCTGAGCGATCGATCGTTTCTCTTCTAGATGTTCCCCGCTAGGGATAAATCTTTGTCCCAGTCCACCCGACTTATTCGAGTGGTGGACCTTCGGCGCAGCCTGTGTTTCCTTACAGCCGCCGGAACTTTGCTCCGAAGTGTAATCGTTTGGTACACTAAGGTTTTGTGCAGTCGTACTAACGACCGTACCACAAGTGAGGCCATCGCACTCACTCGTAGTACATCCACACGCTTGTGGACGCTTCAAAACGTTCATCAGATGGCCATCTGATGAACAAGCGGCAGGTATCGTTACTGTCCGATGTTGCCAGCTAACCCGTGGTTAGTACCTTCTGAGCCACGGTATTCCAAGGATGACATCAAATTTGTCATCCAAATCCAATACGATAAAGTCATCGTCATATTGGGTATCTTCTAGCGTACAGTGGATCTTCACTATACGCTTCATGACGGTTACGGATGCGCCTGTCGCAAGACGTACCGTCATCCTCGTAGGAGGTGTGTCACATTCAACAAACTTAAAATGACCATCTTCTAGCGATTGGCGTCGCACAAAATTGTTGGACGCCCCACAATCGACTAGAGCTCGAAGGGACAACTTATTCGTTACTTCGAGTTTCAAGGTAATGAGTGAGATCTCATTACCTAGAGCAGAAACGTACAACGTTTGTGTGTTGGGAGCAACCTTCATCAAGAGGCCTGCAAATTCTCTTGACGTTTCTTGGACCAGTAGGGTGCTCCGCACCTACTGATCCTGTCCGTTTTTGATGGTCCATCCCGTTGTTGCGTCTTTGCACCAACAGCGGACCCTCGTCCCTGCCCCTTTCTCATGGGTGGACGGTCACTACGCCCAGTGTTGCGAGACACTGGACGAGGGGCACTACACTCGTAAGCGTAGTGTCCTGTCTTTTGACATCTATTGCATTTCTGCAACTTCTTGTAGTCTTTAGAGAGAGCCTTCTCGCTCTCTGCATAACAGAGTTCCACCGGCTCTGGACCTCCGTTGTCATATCGTCTCGGTGTACGATATGATGTCGAGCTGGCGCGAGCCTGTCTCAGACTGAAGTCTTCCTGTTCCGCAATGGAAATGGCTTGTTCTAGTGAATCTAGTTCAAGTCGGAACAGGTGAGTCTTGACAGGACCATCCGCAAGACCCTGCATAAACACCGAAACCAACGTGTGTTCATCAACCGGGTTGGAACTTAGACAACTCGTGAGATGTCGTATATGTTGTGCGTAAGTGTGCACATCACGCTTACCTTGTTTGAGCTTCAAGAGTTCAGTTCGAGCTCTGAACTCAGCTCTAGGCGGTTCAAACGTTTGTCTGAGCCGCGACTTGAAGACTTCCAACGACCCAAACGCATATGGGTCGTGCAACTTGAGCCCCAAAGCCCACGTCTTGGCACGTCCTGCCAGATTTGATTGGGCAAATGCAACTTGCATATCCCCGTCGTCGATGCGACGCGCCCTTATGTCGTCATCCAATTCGACGAACCATCTCAAGACGGAGTCCTCTTCAACTCCCCTACACTTGGAGATGTCAATCTTCAAGGTCTCGGGTCGACGCGAGTGTATCGACCCACCAGCAGCAGCCTGCTGCTGTCTCAACAGTTCAAACTGTTGAGCACCCTGTTCTATCAACAACTCTGCTTGTTGAGAACCTTGTTGGTGAAGCAAGGCTACTTTCTCGCGTTCGGCATCAAGTTCATTTTGAATGAACTTGGCGATAGTAGCATGTTGGACATCTCTATTGAGAGCCACTAGCATGACGCTAACAGCATGGATGCCCATGGTTGAACTCATCCGCTCAACCGCATCCCATTCGACATTGCTCAAATGGGAGTAGCCGTCACGCGTAGCGTGAAAGCTTTGGTCATCTTCATCATCTACCATATTCATGTTAGATGTGAACGTGGTCCTTGGACGGACTACGAAGTGCTACCAGGTGTAACGGGCACCCTCAAGCTTGTACTGATGACAGTACAAGCTACTTACTCTGACGACAGAATAAGGCGGTGCCTCGGAACTTCACGTATACTGGTGCGTGCAGAGGAAGACGGTAAGAAGAAGCGAGAACTTCGTTTAAGTAAAAAGTAGAACTGTATTTATCATAGTTAATGTCTGTTAATAAATCACTGTTTATCCTCATCTAACTATGTCTGAATACAAATGTGTATATCAACTATCTGCTCACCACTCATTGCGTGCGTCTGTCGTGGCGCGTCTTCGTTGGTTGATATAATGGCCTATATCAACCAATTAGGAACTACTCGTAAGTGCTACAGAATATTCGTCTTTATGACAATATTCTGAGAATATAACTCTTATAGTTATATTCTATTAACAATTTCTTATAAATTGTTATGTAACGATTCACCCCGTTACATATAGCCTTATCCCGCAACTGATATAAGCGTGGTGCGTGCACGTTCCATGTTTAAACATTGACTTAGATTTTAGAGTTTTTAATTCTGTCACCTATATGTCGTAGCAGAGGAGAGAGACAAACATGGAAGAGCAAATGTTCTTTCATTTGATGAAGGAAATTTCTATGGTGCGATCAATCTTTCTGGGCTATCCTGCTTCATTTTATGGTACATTTATATTATAGTTCTTAGCTTCTCCCCTTACCAGTAGCTAGAACTAAATTTAACAGTCCGGCTTAATGGTCTCTGTCGACAGGCTTTTTTGCGATCGTCACAAGTATCATCTACAAAAGCAGTAAGCGCTTAGTGCAGGAAATGTTAAATTTGAAGTTTGGTCAACTTGTCCGTAGCTTCGGTTATCGACAAGATAGTGGTGTGCAGTCTTCATGCGGCATCTCTATACCGTGTGTCAAAATATTTATGCTGACCAGCAAGTAGCACAGATTTATTTGCGGCATCCGATTAGAGATTTAGGCTGAAAAGACCAAGACTTGTCGAAGGGAGCAATGAGATCAAAGTGCAGCGGAGCTACCCTTAATCCTATGTCAGAGGAAGACTTCTAGACTCGTAAAATCTCCTTGTTTGTCAAACTAAGCGGGTATTAACTTAAAGGGTCTCAAGTACTTCAGACTTAGTGAGACTAAACTCTACGTGTATGCACAAGCTCTTAAGCTTCTAGTTCTGGTTCTGTAACGAGGTGAATCGTTACATAACAATTTATAAGAAATTGTTAATAGAATATAACTATAAGAGTTATATTCTCAGAATATTGTCATAAAGACGAATATTCTGTAGCACTTACGAGTAGTTCCTAATTGGTTGATATAGGCCATTATATCAACCAACGAAGACGCGCCACGACAGACGCACGCAATGAGTGGTGAGCAGATAGTTGATATACACATTTGTATTCAGACATAGTTAGATGAGGATAAACAGTGATTTATTAACAGACATTAACTATGATAAATACAGCTCTACTTTTTACTTTAACCAAGTACTCGCTTCTTCTTACCGTCTTCCTCTGCACGTACGAGTGTACGTGAAGTTCCGAGGCACCGCCTTATTCTGTCATCAGAATTAGTAGCTTGTACTGTCATCAGTACAAGCTTCAGGGCGCCCCGTTACACCTGGTGGCACTTCGTAGTTCGTCCAAGGACCACGTTCAAATCTATCATGAATATGTTGGATGATGAAGATGACCAAAGCTTTCACGCTACGCGTGACGGCTACTCCCATTTGAGCGATGTCGAATGGGATGCGGTTGAACGGATGGGTTCAACCATGGGCATCCATGCTGTTAGCGTCATGCTAGAGGCTCTCAATAGAGATGTCCAACATGCCACAATCACCAAGTTCATTCAAAATGAACTTGACGCAGAACGCGAGAAAGTAGCCTTGCTTCACCAACAAGGTTCTCAACAATCAGAGTTGTTGAGAGAACAGGGTGCTCAACAGTTTGAACTGTTGAGACAGCAGCAGGCTGCCGCTGGTGGGTCGATGCACTCGCGTCGACCCGAGACCTTGAAGATTGACATCTCCAAGTATAGGGGAGTCGAAGAGGACTCCCTCTTGAGATGAATCGTCGAATTAGACGACGCCATAAGGGCGCGTCGCATCGACGACGGGGATATGCAAGTTGCATTTGCCCAGTCAAATCTGGCAGGACGTGCCAAGACTTGGGCACTGGGGCTCAAGTTGCACGACCCATATGCGTTTGGGTCGTTAGAAGTCTTCATGTCGCGGCTCAGACAAACGTTTGAACCGCCTAGAGCTGAGTTCAGAGCTCGAACTGAACTCTTGTAGCTCAAACAGGGTAAGCGTGATGTGCACGCTTACGCGCAACATATACGACATCTTACGAGCTGTGTAAGTTCCAACCCGGTTGATGAACACACGTTGGTTTCGGTGTTCATGCAGGGTCTTGCGGATGATCCCGTCAAGACTCACCTGTTCCGGCTTGAACTAGATTCACTAGAACAAGCCATTTCCATTGCGGAACAGGAAGACTTCAGTCTGAGACAGGCTCGCGCCAGCTCGACATCATATCTTCAACCGAGACGATACGACAACGGAGGTCCAGAGCCGATGGAACTCTGTTATGTAAAGAGCGAGAAGGCTCGCTCTACAGACTACAATAAGTTGCAGAGATGCAACAGATGTCAGAAGACAGGACACTACGCTTACGAGTGTAGTGCCCCTCGTCCAGTGTCTCGCAACACTGGGCGTAGTGACCGTCCACCCATGAGAAAGGGGCAGGGACGAGGGTCCGCTGTTGGTGCAAAGACGCAACAACGGGATGGACCGTCAAAACACGGACAGGATCAGTAGGTGCGGAGCACCCTACTGGTCCAGCAACGTCAAG